ATGTCTGAACGAGATCTACCGTCCCGAGTCGACTCAGAACGCAGCATTCCTTCTTCTAAATCTGTACCGGCCTTACACCAAATCCATTCGCCCAATCAGGAGCAGCCTAGAGTACCTGGTGGGCCGCCTAACAACTTCTTAGTCGATGGGTACGTATTCATGTTTATAAAATCATCAGAAAAAAATAAGTGATAATAATAGAGGTATTCTAATACTAAAGAAAATAAAGTTTCTTCTGTGAATGTTTATTTCTATTTTGTAGATTTGTTTGGAATATTTTATTAAGTTTACTGTAGCGGCAGAAAAAAAACTGTTATTTCTAACAAACAAATAGTCTATAAAGTTTATTGTAGATGTAGGGAAAACTGTTATATTTAAATAACAACTGTTATTTAAATAACAGTTTTTAAAACAGTATTTCTACTTTTGTGGAAAACTATGACTATAATATCCATTGTAGAGGTAGAGAAAACTGTTATTAAAGAAAATGTAACTGTTATTTTAAAATAATATTTAAAATAGTTTTAATTTTCTGGAAAGCCATCACGTCATCAAACAGGTAGGGAAGGGAGAGGTAGGGAAAACTGTTAAACCAAACTAAAGTTCAACTATATCTAAATAACAGTTCCAACTAACAACAGTAAATACTGCTTTAAAAAGCAGCTCTGCTGTTGTGGAAACTTATGACTGTAATATCCATTGTAGATGTAGGGAAAATGTTATTTTTGGTGTCATCAATGGGAACTGTTATTTAAAAATAACAGTTTAAAAAATAGTTCTAGTTTTTTAGAAAAATCAATCGCTACTATTTATTGTAGAGGTAGGAAAACTGCTATTTTTAAATGTAACAGTTGGTACTGTTGTACTATAGTCTAAAATGACAGCTTAAAAATAACATTTCGTTATTACTGTTATATTTACCTTGTGAAAAAATTTTACTTGTCCCTATACTAATCCTTCTAGTTTTTGCAGGACGTCTTCAAGTAACAGTATCAGTACAAATAATCTTCACGGCGCGGTGCCGAACGGTCCTGCTGGATTAAGAAGTCGCTCGACACACAACCTCAATCAGCAGGATGCAGGTTTCTATCAAAATCTCAGCGTTTATAGGAATAAAATGCCCAGTCCACAACAATTGGGTGATAGGTAAGTGTTTTTTTTTATATAATTTAAAAAAAAAAAAAAAAAAATATTATTTTCTGTTGTATAGGACTTCGGCACTTCGCTCTTCACAAAACTCTCTTCAATCTTCCATAACTTCGCCCAATTCGCAACGGCCTTCTTCTGCTTATTACCCGGCCAATCAGGCGCCGAATTTCAACAGGCCCAACTTGCACCAGTCTATTCCTAACCTCAAAAGTCCGCCTTCGATGCAACGGTTGCAAGGGGAGGAAGAAAGAAACGCTAGATTGCCGGCAGGTGTAACTGGCAGTTATCCCAATATGACAGGACAAGGAGGTCAATATTACGGAGTAAGTATAGTACATATATATATTATATGATTCAGCTCTCTTAGTCTTAGCTTGATTTTCATGCGTCCATTATCCGTTGATACGATGGTACGACGGCGCTCTGATTGGTCATAGCGTTTTCGCGCCAATCTTCATCTGTAAATGTGGATGCAAGGAGGTCAATAAAAAAATCAAGCTTAAGAAGTCTTTTGGGTCTTTTGTAAACAGGTTTTTAATATTGTGTATTATAATTTAGCAACACCAAGCTTACCCAGCTGGTCAACAACAAGCGTATCAACGTCAACCCAACCAACAAGCCTACTCCGCAAACGAAGACATAAATCGCTCTCAGTATGGCTCACCTTACTCTAATCCCAACCAGCCTTACCCTTCACCTACTCACAGTAGTACTCCCAACTACCCCAATAACGTACAAAACAATTATTCTTCCCACACCATGCCACATCAGTTGCATAACAACATCAACTCTAACACTATGCCAGGGAGCGTTAGTTCGAACAATGGGTCAAATAAGTTAGATGAAAGAACTGAAAATGGTAGAATAGATCAAAGAGGGTACGGCAGCACGGGTGGTCTTCTGCGAGAGGACATGTTTAGACACTCGCAGAGCTCTAAACATGAAGAGATGATGAGGTATCCCAGCACGAATAACGTCAGAATATCGGAGGCTCAGATTCAGAGTAGTCGTGGCAGTGAAGATCTCAACAGGTAAGTCACATCAAGGGTGAGAAAAACTGTTATTTATGTCAAAAAGTTTGAAACCGTTATTCGTAAATAAGAACTTTTATGAATAAAAATTGAAGCTGTTATTTGCATAACTCATTTTTAGAACACTGTTATTTCTCAATAACAGTTGAAGTTGTTACTGTTGTTTATAAATAATGGCTTAAATAACAGATGTGTGTTATTTTGCAAAAGGCAAGTCGCGTCACATCAGGGACGAGCAAAATTGTTTTTTATAAAATTACAATTTATAAATAAAAGTAACAACTTTAGCTGTTATTTAGAAGTAACAGTTTTCAAATATTTAGTATATAAATAACAGTTTCAACTGTTATTTATAAATAATGGGCGAAACTGTTACTATCATTTATGTAAGAAATATTTGAAAACTGTTACTTTTAAATAACAGTTAAAGTTGCTGCTTTTATTTATAAATAATAGGTTTCTGTCATATTCTTGTTTTTATCATTAAACAGGCAGTATACCCAAAAATGACCCTTATTTTTAAAAACAATATTTTAGCAGCATGGCGGAATTTTAGCGTATTATTTTGTACCACATTTAACAGACTAACTTTTTTATTTTTAAAACTAGATGAACCCAATTTTTTTTTTTATGAATGTTCTAGATGAAAAATTCAAAAAAATAACTAACCTACCTAACTCCGTACAAACGTTAAACAAAGTAGTTTCAAAATTCATGTTTTTATAACATTTTCTAGGCATCAAGAAATAAGAAACTCGAAAAGTGATGACATGTTGAAGCATCATCACCAAGGAGAGATGATGCGGTACGCCAGCAGTGGAAACATCAGAGCGCATGACCTAAATCAACCTCTAAGACCAAACCCAGACCACTTGCATCAACAAAGGCTAACCAACGAGGAAAGAATACTCAGGGGACAGGCCAAATTAGCGGAAATGGGCGAGGAAGTCAGAAGAAGGCAGCAACATCAACAGGCTAGGATGATGAATCAGCAATACAACTCACAGATGCCTCCTAACGCGTTCTATCAGCAACAGCAACAGCAGCATTACTATAACACTCATATGGCTCAGTCCATGCAGAATCTATCTTTAAATGCTCCATATCAAAATAGTCAGCCTGTGACGCAGGCTAGTACAAGTTATAACCAGCATTATCCACCAAATACTTCAGCTCAAACCAATTATCAGCAAGCCGGTGCTGGCGGTTCGTATTATGGGACTCACGGACCTACCTCGCCGACTTACAGGCCTCAAAATCTACCACAGAAGATGAGTAAACGAACTGAGTCACCTCCTGCCTTACCACCAACGAGTACTCACCCGTTATATTCACCGACATCGACGCAGAGTGACTCGAACACTTACACAGCGTCCAATCAGGATCCTCCAAAGATGGCTTACTATCCGGCCGCGTCTTCTACTCAGAACTCGAAACCGCCACGAGATCCATGGGCTAGAGAGGAACAAGAAAGACAACAAGGTATGACTACTAAATTTTTATTACAAAGTGAGAGATATACCAAGTGCTCTCTGCTGCAAAAAGGGTGGGATCTTTTGGGGTTCTATTGATTTTAGAAAATTTAAATTCATAAATAATTTTGAATTTAATTTCAGAAGCAGACAGGAAGCGGCTAGGCAATGGCAAGAACAACAAATCAGAGAACTTGCATCACTACCATACCGAACGCCTCAACAAGAAGAACAATTGAGAGTCCTACAACTGGAACGAGAATTTCAAAGAAGAGCTCAAGAAGCAGCTGGCGAAGACGACGAAGATACCGAAAAAGTACGTACTCTTCTACAGTTCATGCCAAGTAAACTTTTAGTCGCGTGATTAAGCTTGACCGGCACAGCGTTGCCCACTTTTATATATTTTCTTTTAATCAAGATATTTTATGAAACAAAAATAAATTAATTATAAATATATAAACAGTTATTATTTACATCAACAAAACTCACCTTCTTGTTACACAGCAGTTAAGAGACATAAAGAACCATTACTACCGCTTTCCCGTTCAAAATATTCTAATAAAGTTGCGATGAGTTTTTTACGGCTATTAAGCTATCTTGTACCATATCACACTAAAAGAGGTTCTAAAAAGAACAATGTTCGACTGCAAGGTCTGCTAATAAACATATTTAAGCTTAAAGTATCTCCACACAATTCATTTAAACCAAAAACTCGTAATACAAAATTAAAGTGTCAAAACGAATGACAGTGTCAGGAAATAAATAAATAAATGCGGCAACTTGACATTTTATACAGCAGAGCTACCACACCTGAATCGCCAGCGCGAAATTTAAATTCCAGTTAGTCAGCACGGCGCCGAATATGTCCAGGGTTGGCAACAATGAATTTAAAAATAGAGCCCTCGATTATGTAACTAAAAGTTTAATTGGTATGAAATATACAAAACCACTATAATAGTACTAACATTTATAAAGACCTGGTCATCAATAATCGGTTTTATACCAAGTTTATAAATCTGGAAAAACATTATGTGAGAACTAACCTCGATGATTACCTTTCTTAAGGAATCTCCGTCTCCGCAGCATCTCATGCCTCAACCAGTCTCCAGTCAGACAGTGATCACCTCAGTGCCGTCGACTACGGTGTCCAGCAAGCAGGAACCGACGCACGTGCCGCCTACTTCGATTCTGAAACCGGGCGGAGTCAACCAGCAAGCCCCTCCTCCCGTCATCAACAACAATAATCATCAGCGAGAGGTTCACGTGACGAATCAGGGACCAGCGTCGCCTACGGAGATATCAGCACCACCACCACCAGAAAGGTAAACTATAATCATCTAAAGGCTGAGTTTAATCACTAATGTAATATAATTAAATTATGTTATCTTCTTTTACAATCATCGTTGCATAAAGTAACTAAATTGTGACTTTTTTCCAGGGGCTCAAGTTTTGCTATAATGTCATTGCGAGCTAAAGAAGGTGTCAGTAAAAGAGTGTCCTTTGATCCAGCCTCCACACAAAATAACATCCAACCATTGCCTCAAGTACCAAACACTTTACCCATCGAAGAAACGACCAAAAGAGAAGACCCAAATGTAAGTTAATTCATAAGAAACTAGACCTAACTAAGAAATTACAAAATAAACCCAACAAAATGCTAAATTGTAATAAAGAGTTTTTATGTCAATTTATTGAACTATACCGTGCTGGCAAGTCTTACTTTTGGGTCGGTATAAATCGACATATTAATATAAGGAATCCGCATCTTATGAAGCGTTGGTAAAAGACGTAGGAGATTGATTTGGAAGCAAATAGGAAGAGAAGTTGTTAAACAGATTAAACAATTTAAAAAGTTCTTTCAGAAAAGAACTAAAGAAACTTTTAAAACGCAGAAATAACAGTTAAACTGCACAGACTGACCTGCACTGTGTTAAAGAAGTGTGCGTCTGTGTGTTTTCCTGTCTTATTATTTTTATTTAAACCTTTACTGAAACCCCCCAACTCCCCAAAACTAACCCTCTTCCATTTTTTCAGAGTTTCATCCTGCAGGCTGAATCTATGTTGGCGTCGCCGACCACGCCCACCGACGCCAGTCCCAACGTTTCCACGGCCACGCCCGGCGTTATCGGTGCTCAGGAGGTGTACAGAGACCCCAGAGCGCGACGTCTAGCGGAACAACAGAAGAAGAACCAGAACGAGAACACGCCGGTGCCGGAAAAGCTGAGCTTCAAGGAGAAGATGAAGATGTTCGCGATGGAGACGGGAGAACAGGGCACGCCGAAGGACAAGAGTAAAATTAGTAGGGCGCAGAGGGACATTGATACTTTGGGCTCGCCTCCCAGCTCAGGAATGGTACATTAGTTAGTGATGTTATTGCAATTTAAATAAGTCTATGTCGCGAATCCTCGGGGTGGAGGAAAGATAATTTTTTTAAGGTTAAGTTGGGCTTTAAAAGAAACTAATATGAGAGGAGTCGACTTGGTGCGGTGGTGCATTTTAAGATGCAACAGAGAAAAGTATGACAAGGAGTTTTGCTGCTTTTAGCATCATGATAAGTACCCACCACAGATTACTAAATTGTAGAGATGATAAGTAAGCAATATGTCCTTCGTGAATCTGATATCATTACCGCCCTCTTAAATAGAAGGTCTTGCAATATACGCGTGGAGCCATCGCAGGATGACAATAATTATTGGAACTCTTTATATCCAGGATGTCTCTTAAATAAGTACAAGTACTGTATGATCGAAAGAAAAACCGGCGTCCAGTTGGCTTGGAATTGAACATCAGTAACATTTGTATTTACATTGTTGTATATTAATTGGTTGTAAAGTTCGACCCTAGATATACACCCATGAGGCTTTTTTCTTGTAAAAGGTTGTTGCAAATTTTCAATTTTTCTTTACTTTTTCCTGGACATTTTAAAAAACTTTTTAGTACTACAGGTTCATTGCAATTTTGTGCGATTATCACTAATAAGTAAAGTTCACACAGTAATTTCTATTTTCTACATAATTAAATTAGGAAAATTAATTTTAATTATGTCAGTTTAATAATTCTAGAACAACGCACTGTACTTATTTTTTAACAAATACTAGTAGATTTTTACAGTTATTTTCAACTGAACTGATTTTACAAGCAAATGAATAAATTTTATTAGATAGATGTGTGAAATAATACTTCAATCTCTTTTATTTCGCTGCCCTATTATATTTGGCGCCCAACGTGGGGTCAAAATGATTACTATACTAGCAAGTGACTGTAGAACACATGTTTTTAACACACACTTAATACATTTTTAGTAGAGTTCATCATATTATTTTCCATTAAATTATGTATATACGTACTTTCTTGTCCATGTGGGCAACACATCGAATAAGCTGAGAACTGGCTGATCGGTTGATTCCGGCGGTTCTCAAAATGTAAGCATTAATTTATTTAAACATTTTCAAGTTAAATAACTCAGTTATTTTCAATTTATTTTAAAAATGGTAAAAAGAAAATAATGTTTTGCATTTTTTTAAGAGACACCCTTATAGAGTCGACAGACGAAACTGTATAGTATAAAAAATGGCTTTTAAATAAAATTGATAAGCCGAGCCAAAATGCTATTGAATATTATAGATAGGTACTAGGTATACCTAATAATTTTAATATTAACTTAATATTTAGCAGAACAACACAAAAATTGTTGTTCACCTCTTTGGTGGGTAAATATCTTGAGACTGACGAAAATTCAAGAAAATTGACAATTTGTATTCTTGCTCTAAAATATGCATCAAGCAAAACACCACAAGTCATCAAATAGATACAATACTTTACTATAAAGTATTATTGAACAAGTTTAATATACACTGAAAATGTTATGAATTTTAATTTTTTACTTATGACAGACAGGTTTTCAATGTGATCAAGAGTCTCATAATTAATTCACACAAATTTACAAGGTGTGTTCAACTAAAACATATTTTTGGATTTTGTACTAGTAATATAAAAAATTACAAACCTATTTGTAAATATTTAAAATTATATTATTTAAAGGAACAGATATATTCATTGCCACAATACAAAATCCAAAAATCTTTATATTGCAATTATTATATAAAATAAAACTTGTATAACGTGGCGAGAAATTTAAAATGCCGATTTTTAACGAATTATGTACAGGGTGTCTCAGATAAGAAGACGCTCGAGTCCAGAATAACTAGACCATACAGAAGCGACAAGTGCGATTTTTTCGCGAACCAAATTTTTAAGTGACTTTATTTCTCATATTTTTAAGCTATAAATTTTGATGATGTCGGTTGTCAAATTTTGATTAGCTGATGCTTAATATCAAGGATCAATTTATTGATATTTTTTGTCTTGTATAGAAACCAAAATTTATGCGGAATAAATTAAAAGTATAGGTTTGGAAGAAAGAAAAATACTGTTTCCTCCTCTTTTTTACATTTTTTACCTGTATTTTTTTTTTTTTTTTTTTTAAAAAAATCATCAAAGACGCTTAAGTACCTAAGCCTTGATTAATATTTCCTCTTTTAACCATTGCAATCATGTTTATAATTTTATTTAATTTAATTTCTTGAATTTATATTTACTTATTTATGAATTTTAGTAAATAGTTTATTTAAAGATTTCTTTCAATAAAATTGTAGATATTCTACTATCTTCTAATGTTGCCATATTCTTTATTCTTTTATGTAAAAAACCACTTGTAGTTACCAAAAAAGAGAAAAAGTATTTAAGCTTTCTATGATTCTATAATGCTGCTAAATATTAGACAAAAAATTATAGTGTTTAGGCTGCCAAGATCAATTTGTCAAAATTTTTGTGACATCAAGGTCAAAAAATTATTGTACATAATTGACATACTTCAAAGGAAGAGACGCTCACTGTTGCTTCTGTATAGCTAAGGTATTTTGAGACACAAACTATATAATTTTATATTCTCGATTCATAAATATAATAGTGTTTTATGAGATACCTCTATAAGGCCTCTATAAGCTATTTATACACATATATTGTACTATACGCTCTAGAAATGAATACAATTATAGCGAATACTTTATAACAATTTCGACCATATCTTTATACTTGCCGTCCGTGCTTGAGACCACCAGTATTTTTAAACTTTAGATGACTTTTCTTATTTACATGATCTAAACTTTCTACTAGCCATGTAGAGTTGTTATACATATAAATGAACATTTATATATAAACCATAGGAACGTAGTGGCCAGTACACATAGTGATCCTCTTTAGGACGTGTTGATACAGTTTTTTTTCTTGTATATTTATCTATTAAAAGTATTAAAGATGTATTTATGCAGGGTTGATCAATTTTCCGTTGATTTTGATTGCACATTGTCAGCTGGATGATTTTAAGACTTCAAAAAGAATTTGAAACAGCAACTCATCCAGAAATTGTTACAGACAAGCAATATTGTTTGGGTATAAGGACCAATATAATAATGTTTAAATTATATAGATATTCTATTATAGTTTAGAGATATATACAAATATATTATATATCTATATTCTCTATTTAAGATGAAAATAATTGATGATATAACATTCCTTTTGTTTATTTTGTACCATACTGAATTTATTGTTTATTTTTTCTTCTATATATTATTTTCAATTTAAAGCTATTCGATAAGTCTACTATTTTCTACGTAAGGTACATGTATTTAAATTATTGAAGAAACTTTAGTAGAAATGTAAATAGACATATTAAGAATGTATATTATACGAAAAGTAGTATAAAAGTATTGAAAATTCTACTGTGTTTATGATTTTATGTTATTTTTTAGATTATTAAGCAAAATTATGATCTGTTAAATTGTGTATTGTCTATTACTGAAATAAAATTAAAATTAATAAAGCAAATACTAGTGTTTTACTTACCCTTAAAACAAATTATGAGCTGAAATTATACATCACAGCAATACGTAACTGAACGAAGACACTGA